AATATTAATAATTTGTTAATAGTAACTAAAAACGAAGGATTCGAACGGATTTATCAGCTTAATATGTAACAGAATCTTGCAAAATGTCAAAACGTGAACTGATAGGTCAATAGCGTGAGAATTTTATATGCATATATTACAGTTGTTTGTTATTAATATCTAGATAGTATTGATAATTTATTTATGATAAAATTAATAAAGTATTAACTGGTTATGTGCAGATAAAAATCGCCAGTTTTAATAAACGACATACAATCTTATAGGAACAGCTTCCTATTTTGATCAATATTTAAAACAAATAAATACGCGGTGAGATGGATGATAGTACTTATCAAATATGCAGGCCATTTTATTCTAATTATAGATATCATAACTTGTTTACTTACGACTGTTTGGACTTTTAAAAATTTTGATGAAGTTTTTCGTCTGTTTGAATCTTTCTCTAATTTTGTAAGCATTATTTAACTTTACAAAGCATCAAGTGGTTACGGTGCTGCACGTGCATACTAGACCCTTTCGACGAAATAGAAATTCAATAAATCTAGCGTGCACACGTATTTTGTAATCTGTATTTACAATTGCGATGGCCATTATTATCCCCCTAGTAACCTCATAATGAAAAAATCTCATTAGTTCTTAAAAAAACCATTTTTAATGTTTTATGTCCGACAAAAAAACAAGAAAAAAAAATCCTCTCTCGAATCCAAAAATGAAAAACATCGTGAAGCAAAAACATTTATATTATAATTTGAATTGCTGATTTCCAAGGCGTTAACAATAAAAGAATATTAACACATAATTAAAATAATTCACTAGTTTGTTAATATTAAAAATTGTGTAAACAACTTACGCGCGTATATCTGTTTCCTTGACATATCCGGTTTCTTTGTAAATCACATGCGGAAACGCGCGAACTTTTGTCTATACAATATGAAGACGCGGAACGAGAGAGCAGAGTGACTATGATCGCGAAATTACTGCGCATATCGTTATATCGCTGCGAATGATAAATACGAGGTCGGAACTGATTTTTGGCGAGGTCTAACTTCGGCCTTCGTAAAAATTAGCGCGTTTTGCATAATGCGTGTGCCGTATTTACATTATCTGTAAGCTATTGATGATAATAATATGACACAGAGATAAGATCTGAGACCACTGTAGTAGGAAGCGTATTATGCTAGTTTCACACGAGCGCACAACAGTGAAGCTGGTGTGTTTCGGTGGCATGAGTGCGTACCGCACTGTCTACTGCTCTGCCTCATCTGCCCTCGTCTGTAACTGGCATTATATAAGAGAAGCAGCCTTGCTGTAGCTTCCCAGGTTCGCACGATAATAATATGCGAACGGCCTAAAGTCGTGTAGGTCATATTATTCACCTTGATTTTGAAGTTTGATATACATCGCATAGATGTGTTCCTTTTGTTTTTTTTACTCATGGTCAAGATCGAAAATAAAAATGATTGCTTGTTTAGTTTAGTTTATCTAACGAAATATGATAATATAATTTCAGTAGAATTAATGTGCATAATATGAGAACCAAAGTCATAAAAGTGAAACATAATATTGTGTTACATTGTGTTGAGTCCATCACATATATTTATTGAAAACTATTCAATATTATTTTCGTTTATAAATAATAGGAAAAACATAGCTACGTCTCTAATACATTTATTTACAAAATCACGTATTTATACATTGTATTCTTACGAGATTACCATCAGATGCAAAGCAACTAAAAAGCTCTTGCACGCGATTTTCGTGTATTCGTTATGCAATGTTCGGAACTTTTGAGCTTTTATTGCGGCAGGTTTAACGAGGCGGGTTACACTTCCGCGGCAGTCGCGTCTTCCGCGATGTCCCTAGATGTGCCGATAACATTGTCGGCCTTTTGACATCACATTATATTACTGTGGGAATTTCACTAATCCAATAAACTGGAACATGTTTGCGGCATGATAACAAATACTTAAGACTGCCTATTCACGCAAAATACGTGCGAGTCGTTGTCGACTTAAATTTGCGTGAATCGTCGAGTTAAATGGTAAAAGTAAAACGATTAAGTCAACATCAAAATTTTCATTATTTTTTATTCATCTTAAATACATCATTGTGCAATACCATTTATTGTGCATAAATATTTAAATTATACAAAAGTATTTACGAATTTTTATTACTCATCTGTAATATATCAAGTCTGCAATGCAATAAATCCATCTATAAAAAGACGTCCAGCTCATATCGTCTCAACTCCCCAGATTTAATTTGGTATAATTACGTTCAACACATTAGACGGGGAGGCGATCCGTCCACTCTGCGTTCGTTAGAGTTATTTATGTGCCATGCGGGCGGCGACAATATCGCTTATTAATTATTAGCTTTGTCCCACTTACACGCATGTATTACTGTATAAAACTATCCCACTTTCCCGTGGGAACCTTTGTGAATAATGCTGCGTACACCAGTTGATTTATATTGAGTCTAGACTGGCAGATAGGTAAAAGAGAACCGGTTAATGTTTACTGATAGAATGGATTGAGATGTATATATTTTTTAAATGAAATAGATTCGAACTTTTCACGGCTTTACACAAATATATCGCTCACAATCTATATTAGGCAATATTTAGATTCTAATTATGAGTTTACATTGCGGAAAAACATGTGTTATTTTTAAATATTGCATGCATCAAAAATAATCAGCAATAACAACTTTAGTCATCAATAAGCCGCTTATTATCGCAAACGTTGTAGTTAATAAAAATAATCGATATTATCGCAATTAATAAATTTAGCATATAACATTGTAAACGTTATGTGTTTATAACGGTTAACTGTTACTGAGGCAACTTAATGCAGTGTAATATAACGGTAAATAGTTTCTGCGATGTAGGGCTTTTGCGAACGAGTTGAGTTGACTGCTGACGAAATTTAATAGCAATCAAGATTCAGTGTGGAGCAATTAGCAAACTGGATTATTGACTACATTGGCGTGCGGATGCAGGAATGTTTACCTAGTAGAGTTCTTTTGGATGAGTTGTATTGGAAAACAGCCGGGGTATAGTTTAGTAGTATTAGCTTGCGTAGTAAAATGTAGTAAAATTTTAATAATTCGATGTTATAAATAAATTTGCATCGATGTTAGTTTAATACGTTCCGTCTAATTATAATAATCTAGTATTGACAGTCGCAATAAGTCGCTTATTATATTATACTATAAGGTAATTCATACTAAAGTCACACTTAGATAAAAATTGTAATCTACCTATATGAACACTAATAAAACTAATAGTAGTTTCATCTACATAGGTATATTAAAATGAATACGACTATACAGCGTGAAGCTAGGGTTATTTCTCTATAAATTACTCGTTACATGCGGAAGTACATTTTCGTGTCAAATAAAATGCTGTTTACAAGCCGCAGTCGACAACATTGTAATGTAACAACCGCATAGGAAGTAGCTGTAGTTTTATGATGCGATCTTATCGAATACAGCTATTTGAATTAATGCTTTTTTAAAATCTTGTCGTCGTCGAATCGTTTTTATTAATCATATTTCGTACATGTGAAGTCTGCATTTGCGTTATTTATAACAAAAAAAACATTTTTTTTATTGCCTATCTGTTTGTCCGTAAGTCCGCGTTTCTTCTGGATAATCTCCAAAACGGTTGTACCGATTTTAACGGATCTTTAACTTGAAGATAGCTGCTTGTGGAGTACCAAGGTATTTTTTTTATTTCTGCGCTTACAAAGTCGCAGGCAACCACTAGTATCACAAAAGATTGGAAATATCAATAACATTTGTTAATCAAATTATCAAATCAGCTTGATAAAACAAACTATAATGAATTAAAAAAGAGAGGGGAACAAACATACATCTAGCTTATATGAGGGTATATTTTTTGATATTAACAAGTCGTGGGTACGTCGGGATGCGGGCGGGATCGACCCGGTGACCCACTGCCGACTTGATTACTGCGCCCGATTCAATTGGCCGCGCTCAGAACACGGTTAATGCTATTATGTCCATAAACTAACATTACAGAGCCACCATTTTAATATAGATTCTGTAAATATGAATACAAAGAATTGCCAGTAACAAAATTTAGAGAGTAGACTAGGTACGAAGAAATTAATAATTATGTAGTTTAAGAAACTTAAATTGTAAATGTGTAATTTCACGCTAATACGGATGAAAGGCCTCATTTTTTCTTTTAAATTAAAATCTATTGTAAACAGATTTATCACATTAAGTGGGTAACACTTATTTTGTATTCTTCTAAAAAATAAAATGTCCCTAAAATAACTTATTTTTTAATGATACAACTAAACAAAAACCAATGGTAGTATTTTAAAATTCTAGTATAAAATATTAAAACAGTAGCGGGCGATAAATATCTACTTTATAATAAATAAGTTTTAAGTTTTCGCATAATATTGCTATTACTATACATGCATTATTGTTACATTATTATTACATGCAATATTAAGCTATTTTAAATATAATTTTTTCTCTTTTTTTTGTAATTCCTAAGTAAGGCAAGCAATCTCACAATGTAACTAACATATTACTTAAACTATAGCACTAAGACGAAAGAGACCTGGCTCCTATAATACGGGTCTAGAACCTAGTTTAGGAATCAGGCGTACTATTACTATGTAATTTTGTCATAATTTTTGTTGCCTAAATAAACGATTTTTATTATTATTATTATTTTATTACGATTACTCGTCAGAAGCTGTATGTTCTCTGAATAAATCTTGATATTTAATCTGTATTAATTTAGTTATTATCCGTAACAATTTATTACTATGATACAATCTAACACGTTAATAACAATATCTTAATTTACCAGACAATGTACCAATTGTTTTTTTTTTATTTGGAATTTGTGGTTATTACAATGTTAGATTTATTGTGAACGTTTTCTACCACAGATGATATTACTGTTAGTAGGTTTTCTAACAACAAAACCACAGATAAAATTACTCCTAACTCACCGTAAGGTGACACGTGTGGTGTGACGTCACACAAGCTGCAAGTCTCGCTTAGCTTACCTGAAACAAAAAATACACATTTTAAAAATGTTAACGCGACGTCGTGGTTATATAAGAAGTTTTATGTAGTGCTTGGTTTTCTTTTAAACATCAATCTTTGAAATGGACTTGAATTTTCCTTATGAGAATCTGGAGTTTCTATTTATCAAGAAATGTTTGAAAAGATGTTTTATAAATAAACAAAATATAAAAAATTCTTAGATTTATACAGTAAATTCATAACTGCTATCAGAAACAAGATTTAATATATATAATTTAACTCGCGTAATGTAATATTGGTAATGTTAATCGCAAATGATAGCTTCCTTTAGTAATATTAAGGAAATAAACGAATGCCAACGATTCTTTTCAATGACACTTGAATAATAAAAGGAAATTAAAATGCGACTCACGCGCTAAACACATGCTCATAGAAAATGTATAAACGATCCAAATCGTATTAAAACTATGTACATCATTGTATTAACAAAAATTAGGAATATTATATGATATTAACAGTATTAAAATAATCCTTGCAGAAATTAGATAATTTATTAACATTTTAAGGAGAGGTCTAAAGAACACGCACAATTGAAATCGAGTTCAATAATTTAGTGGCATTTTATGTACTCTTAACTTTCATAAATAAAAAATATTATTTTAATGTCATTGCACAGGAATTAACAATTAGTTATCTTGCAATTTGAAATAGCCTCACGCTTTCTAAAAGTACTTAACTAATATTTTATAGATGTTAGATAAGTAAATACACTTAAACCGTTAGTATTTACGATTCGCAACGATGCGACAAATATGGAGGTTGGACATGAACTTTCTCAGAGCCCTCTTGAGACGTTCAAAGGTCTATTGTGAGACCGTTAACGGGGGACTGGCTTTGCCCCACAATACCTTTATTACTACCATGATAACAGCTTGCGCTAAAGTGGGTTAATAGAACAATGTCAAAGATAAACGGATTGACAAAATTCGGATAGTTACTATACGTAAATCTCATTTACGATACTTGTGTATACCGACACAATTAGCAACTATTATTTATCTGTGTTATCAATTATGTTACAGATAAAACGTTTTCCTTTACTTTTTTAAATATGCTTTTACATAATCTAATCTTTGACCGACAGATTTGAGATTTTTTTATCTATTATCTATTGTATTGTACATAAGCTTCCGCTCTTGGAATTGTTAAATAATTAATCACCTCTTTACAGCCTTTTTGATTTTTGAGCATAATTCAATTCAGTACTTTTTTTTTCTTTTTTTATTCATAAAAATTTACACTTCCATTAATTAATTTAGTTTCTTACATTTTGTGCTTTCTGCTTTCTTAACAGTCTTTCTTTTAGGAAATTGACTTCCAAATACATTGGCATTAATCGTCGATTTATGCGCGATGTTCATTAAATTACTTTCCTTATAAAGCAATGTGCATGTATATTGGTTAATCTGTAACTCTTTGATTCTAAATTCGTTACGAAACATTTCAAAATTGTTTACGAGTATTCAATAACATAGTAATTACATATTTGGTTTACACATACAGCTAAATCTCATACAAATCATGTAAACAATTCAAAAACGCGCGAGTCGTTACCCAACGCCCCTTCTCGCGTTCTCTGTTTAGTTTCACTAGGGGAAGAAAGGGCCGCGCACCACTGATTATTGTTTTACTTCTTTTATAGCGCTTCGGTTGGCCGGACGCCTTAGCGAAGGGTTATTTCAGTTACGGCCCAACTAATTATCGCTACTCTAGGGCGCGGTTGCTCCCCGTATATTTCTGACGTGTTAACGTTTATATGGAGTTTACTTTAGTACCCCATTCTCAATGGCATCTTAAGTTTTATGTTATTTATAACTTTTTTTTTGTACAAAAATTTTATACAACTGTCATTTTATAAAATATTCATAATATATCTATTTATAAAACTTGGATTTGCAAACTCACAGCGCTTACTGCAATTTTCGTATTATTAATCGTCGAGACAATTTCCAATTCAAAATTTTTATTTCCTACATTAATATGCATAGTTTCAACAAGTCTGATATGAATAAAAGGTCGGTAAAAACAGTTCGAAAGTAATTATCTGTCTCGATAAGCTAATTCCATATAAGAGGATTATGTAGATTAATTGGAAACATGTTATCATCACAGAGCATGTGCGACGCGCGTAATGCCTTCTCCTTGTTTAACATCGCGAACTTGTTATTGTGAATAATTACTTAACATACTACGCTTACTGTTATTATAGAAGCGAAAGTTTGAAGGAATAGAATAGAACTTCAGAATGGTTGAAATTTGAAGATAGATTGCAACCAGAAATAGTCTTTAATATTATTCTGCAACGAAGTAATTTTTTTTAGTATGTGATCGAATTCGCAAGCAAAAGCTAGTAAAATAGAAAAAGGAATAAATAATATTCCGATGCTATGCTTTGTTCTAGCAAGCAGCATTCGGTCATAAACAAAAATAAACCAGGTCACAAATCCACTAGACGCCTTATAAATTCCCGGTTTTTATGCGAAGCTTCAACTTGACTTGTACGTGCTAAGAAATTCAATTACTCAAGTTCAAATCGCATAAAATATTGCTATTGTAAAAATGTAACAATAGGATGGCAATATGTTTTAAGAGTAACGTTCAGTGGAAACCGAGCTTAATAGTTATCACACATATTTTAGTGCTAGAGAGAACGATGTTTGTTTACAAATATTGGCATAATAATATCCTTTATCGAAATCAAAAGCAACAGTAAATTCAAACGAATATAAAATCATATTGAGCATTTTGCAAATACAACGCAATTTGGTACACTAATTTACCTATTAGGTACAATACAAATATAGCCACATAGTCGCGAGTTCACACTGCAGAAACATGTGATAAGTTTGAGTACTTAAAAGAATTTTTAAACCGAGTAATGTTGTTTGAAACAAAATCTGTTCGGATACGCGCCAAAACGTTCTGACATTTAAGTTCTAATTAGGTCCATATACATGTTGCATTCCGCAGTAGCGTTTTGACCTTTAGATATTCGTTTTAGCTTCGTTGTAAGTAATGGGAAATAATTATTTCAACTGTGAAGCACGAATTCAATTTCATAAAATTTTACATCAGTAAATTTTAAAGTAGAAAGTTGGTTTAATAAAGGTGATACAGAAATCGTCTTTAACTTACCACACCCTAAGTCATTAATTCGTAACTAAGGTTATCTCTAAGCGTACTTTTAATATCAGAAATCTACACGAGGAGAACTGTTAATAAGTATTATAAGGCTCAAGGTGTACTAAAAAATTTAAAATTGATGCTTGCGTAAAAGTTTGCTGATGAGCTTACAGTTCCGCTGTAGTAAGCGCCCTTTGTTGATTAGTAAAAGTACCACTTCCTTTTCCTGTTAGTGAAGCGTTCGAGGGGGAGTCCGGTGACGTCACCGGGCGACTCACATCAATATAAGGTCCTCGACAAAAGCACACACGAGCCACAAAAGGGACGCTTTATACAGAATACTAACATAATAACGAAGCTTTACGTAAATTTGCTATAACGTTTCCTGGTCTATAATAATCTTACTCATATTATAAATGGATGGATGTTTATTTCGCTGAAATTTGGCATGTAGAACAAAGTTTGGAAGAACACATGGGCTATTAATTGTTTTCTTTTAATCCCGCGCGGACAGAGTGGCGGGCGACAGTTAGTCAAACATAAAACATAAAAGCGAAGTCCGGATTCGCTGACGGATCTGCCCGAGGTCGGTCTGTCTGTCGTGATATCGTTCACTCGCTCGCTAAGCGTAAATTATCGTACATTAAATACCATTCGAATTCCCCTCGGACCGCATTCCGTCTGAGTACGCCAATGCGATACTATTCATTTTGATGCTAATTATTAACTGATATCGGTTTATTGAACTTTATCTATTTCTGTAGACTGTAAGTACAAAATAATTTGATTTCTGAAACATTCAAAGGTACCAATTTAAGATACATTTTTTTTAATTCTTTCTGTGTTTTTAAGGCGTAATAATTAGAAATATTACAATTGACATTTGGATTCTTTTAGGAGAGAGGTAGAAGAGTGACAAAAATAAATAGCTACTTACAAGAGATGAGACTTTAGATTAGTCCGAATTGTTTACATGCACTCTTCAATAAACGGAGATATTCATTCTCAGTTTATAATTAAAAATGATTAATTTCTAACTTAGCCTTCCAATTTAAAAAAAACCTCATACTGTGAAAAGTAAAAAAAAACCGCGAATTTGAACACACATCGTATCATTAGCCACCGTATCGGGAACAAAACATTGCGAAAAAAAGTGATTTGCGTCAGAGCGGACTTTGCATATCAAAACACATGTTAATTTGTCTGCGTCATTTCTAAATAATTATACCAAAGAGTAGCTTAATAAATAAGAACGTCAGATAAATGTACATATGTAAATTGGAAATCGAATAACACATTGGTACATGACGGGATTCGAACCCAGGACCTGCAGATTGCAAATCAAGTGCTTGACCACTGAGCCATCGCCGCTCTCACAAATAAACAACAGAAATATAAACGTTGGAAACAACAACATAACTCACATCCGTAACCAAGAGGGATAGGCAGAGATCTGAGACCTTCACTTGGCGTGGTCCAGACAAAAAGTCCAATTGTCGAAAAGTCAGTGTGTTTTCGTTCGCTATATTATCAAGTAAAAGTTGGAATTGAGATAATAATCCGGTAGTTTAGTCAGTGACATAATATTCGATATGAAATGAAAATGTACTCTTGAACTAAGCGAGAGAACAATGCCGATAAAATGCGTCGGTACGTGGTGTTTGCGTCACAACTTACGTAATACAAATAAAACTACAAAAACTGCTGATAATCAAATAAAAATAGTTTCATAGCATTTATATGTGGAAGGTAATGTATGGAGTATTAAAAAAATCATAAATCTTTCTACGTTTTAATAAACTACTTTACTACTACTTTAAGCAATGGGACACATCTA